TAAATCCTAGGATGCACAACCTACTCTTGCCTGTAGCTGCATTGGTACAGTATTTGAATGTACATGGAACACCACTATGAGTTTAAGCTGCTGTATGTGGTTTAAAAAGAAATTTAAAATCAAACTAAATATTTATTATATTGACACTAATGATGAGAGTAATGATAAAGCTTAGGGAGGTGGTAATGAAAAAGAAAGAACAAGTAAATAATTAGAGCTACAAAATTATTTTTGCAATCATTATGAAAATGATAATACTAGGAATAGGTTCAGAGAGGGACAGTTAAAGGAGGGTCTACACCACCTTAGCCCCATCATGGTTGGGGGCAGAGACACAACATTTTATGGCACATATAGTTAGCCTGAAATGGCAATCTCAGACTTTAATTTTTAATATAATTTTTTTTAATAAATATTTTTTTTTCTTCAACTTTTTAATTTTAAAAAGAATAGAGACCTCAGGTAGGATTCCCTCACCCCACCCTCTTTCCCAATTGAATAACTTGTTCGTTTATTCATCTAGATGAAAATTCTGGATTTGTATCAGAAAATGGTATTGAAGTCATTGAACTGAATGATGTAAGGTAGAAGTGTAACAGGAACTTAATTATATAATTAATAGCTATCAATTAATTTCCCATCGATTTATAATCAGGTGGTACTGGGGTGGGACAACTTAATTTCCTGCTCCACAACAAGTTATCCATTCATAGAAACCTTTAACCCTTACGCTGCCATCTTCGCATAAATGCGAACACTGCACAGTTGGTGTGCATGCTAGTTTCGCATAAATGCGATTAGGCTCACTGTCAGCCGTACGCCACCTTCGCATAAATGCGAATTGGTGAAGGTCTTAAAAAAAAAACGACCATAGAGCGGCTGTTTTAACACTAACCCAAAAAGTGTTTACTGCATTTGAAAGCTAATGAATTTTTGCACATTTTGATGCGAAACTTGCTGGGTGTTGTTTTGTTAGAAGTTTGAGTTTTTGGAAGTTGAAAATATGATGTTTTGAAATGTTGAGAAACTTTATTCTTCTGTAGTTGTTACTGCTGTGCTGGATAATAAGGAGACTTAGAAACTGCCATAAAAAAACGGTGTTATGGTCCTAGGCCTAGCTAGGCAGACCTAGCCTAGGCCTAGGCCTAGCTAGGCCTGAACTGTGATGGTAATGTTAGTAAAAATACGTATGGAGGATTGGTTTTTTTGATTTCCATCAGCAAAAAATTTGACTTTGAAAACACATACTCTGCTAATAGACCTAGGCCCAATATACTATTTGTGATAGGCCTTGACAAAATATTCCTATCATTTATTCACTAAATAATAAATAAAATGCAAAAATAAAAGCATATATGTACAAACCAACTAATGCTGATTAATTGTTTTTAGATTTATATTTTCATAATCTGAATAGTTTATGAATTATTGAGCAAATAATATACACTTTAAAAAATAAGCATTACGGTGACCTTGTTAAATAATTAGCTGGCACAGGGGATTAGAGGTAATGTTAGCTGGCGCTCTGGTTGACTGAATAAGAAAAGAGCTGGCAGCGTAAGGGTTAAGAAGAAAGACTACCTAAAATGGCCTAGAATGGCATAGACCAGCTATCTCCTGCTTTGAATATAGGAAGATTGAAATGTATTAATAGAGTATACAATGTACACAGTGTTCCTTTGAAAATTTATATTAAGTATATGTTAGTAATAATAATGTAGGTTATATTATTATTATTATTTGTTTTGAACTATTTCAGATATAATTATCAAAGATTCCCTGATGACAAGGCAGAAAGAAGTATATCAGAATGTGAATAAAATAACACCAGCAATCTGGCATAAATCACATGAAGTAGATATTGCAGATGTTTTTACTGAACTCAGCTTACTGCAATCTAAAAAAGAAGACAAAGGAAAACAAGACAAGTCAACATGCACAAAAAAAGAAGGTAGACCCACATCATTAACAGAGGCATTAGAGGTTATTAAGTCAACAGATTCTTGTAAGGTATTAATAACAGGGGAGGGAGGAATGGGTAAGACTACCCTCCTTAAGTATATTGCTCATCAGTGGGCTACTGATGATGAACATGTCTTTGCTGATAAATTACTGTTTCTGATAAATATCAGGGAAATTAAAGAAAGTAAATCATTCTTGGAGATAATTATGAATGAAATTAATTCAAAAGAAATAATTGATGGGAACGATTTGTCATGTGACTCATTTAACCCAGTTGAAAGGTTCTTGGTCAAACATGACAATGAAATAATATTTTTGTTAGATGGATATGATGAGTTAGGAAGAAATGCTAAAGACCCAATTGATCTATTTAAAAAAAGAGAATTGCGAAAAAGCATGGTAGTGATAACATCTCGACCCGACAACACAGCTGATTTGATTAAATACTGTGATGTACATATTGAAGTGAAGGGATTCAGTCAAAGTAACATAAAGAAGTATATTCAAAATTATTTTCGTTCAATCAGTGAAATCGAAGTTGGTAATTCTTTAATAAAAGAGTTTGGACTTGATTCAGAGGATCCATTTTTTTGGGGTGGTAATCACAAAGAAGCATTTAAATTGTGCTCCTCTCCACTGTTATTGCTTCACATTTGTACCATATGGGAAGAAAAACGTGTTCTTCCCACATACTTGCCCGATCTTTTTAAGGAGCTCATTTGTTGTATTTTAAATCAATATCTAAACAGGGCTGGCATAAAATCGGTAATTGCCAATTTTGAGAGAATTCCAGATCAATACATGTCTGCCATTTTAATTTTAGGAGAGTGTATGTATATAGGACTAAAGGAAAATACACTGTCTATTGACAAATTTGTTTTGTCAAATATGGCAAAGGATAAAGAATTATTAAATTTAGCACTAGCACTTGGGTTTGTTTATAATGATACCCCTGCTAATCCAGGGAAAGTAAAGGAGATGTACACACCCCCACATAAATTAATTTCAGAGGCACTAGCAGGGCTGTACCTGTCTACAGAAATTCAGAAAGGGAGTTTAAAGGTTGAGTATGAGGAAATCAGATGTAATGCTTATTTGAATATGACGAGGATGTTTGCAATAGGATTTTTAGGTGCTGATGCTGATAAGTTGCTGAAACCATGGTTAATAATCAGGGCCTCAAATTATTGCTCAATAGTACAATGTTTAAAACATGTAAAGAAAGAGAATGAAGATGATATTTTAGTGAAATTGGATAAGCTCATGTCCAACGATATGAAAGCACATAGTGAGCAAATGTTGGAGTCATTTAGAAGTCTTATAAATGATGGCAGAGACATATCAAGTATGCATTTATTCAAACTCATGAAAAGATGTAGCATTGAATATGATCCTTACAGACTTGAAGCAGCAGCAGTATCTTTGATAAATAGGTGCAGGGAAAGGCAGTGCCAACTTGTTGTACATACCTTAGTGTTATTACAAGTAATGAAACAGAAACATCAACCATACTGTCTACTTGAATGTATTTCAAAATGGAAAAATGAAGAAATCAATTTACTTTCAGCTGAGATGAAAAAAAATCATTTTATATATAATTTGACTTACATTTGTTTTGATTTTCAACTGAGTTTAGCATTCTTAATTCATTTCCTTAAATATGCAAGTAACTTAGATAGCTTGGAATTATGGAGTCACAATATCCAATATGCTAGTCGCACATTGGTCACAGGTACTATACTCAATGCAGTTATTAATGATTTGGACAATGCCAATATAAAGTTAGAATTAGAAATACTTTATATTAGTGGCAATGATCTAAATGATATTGATGGAACATTACTGGGAAAATTATTTAAAATAGCTCCTAAATTAAAATGTCTAGAAGTAAGAAACTGTAGGCTATCAGGTGGTACTCTGAGGGCAATGATCACAGAATGCCAGAACAGTGAAGATACAGTATGCAATAGTCACAAGTTGGTCACAGGTGCTATACACAATGCAGTTATTAATAATTTGGACAATGCCAATATAAAGTTAGAATTAGAAAAACTTGATATTAGTGGCAATGATCTAAATGATATTGATGGAACATTACTTGGAAAATTATTTAAAATAGCTCCTAAATTAAAATATCTATATGTAAGAAAGTGTAGGCTATCAGGTGGTACTTTGAGGGCAATGATCACAGAATGCCAGAACAGTGAAGATACAGTATGCAATAGTCACAAGTTGGTCACAGGTGCTATACTCAATGCAGTTATTAATGATTTGGACAATGCCAATATAAAGTTAGAATTAGAAAAACTTGATATTAGTGGCAATGATCTAAATGATATTGATGGAACATTACTTGGAAAATTATTTAAAATAGCTCCTAAATTAAAATGTCTAGATGTAAGCAAGTGTAGGCTATCAGTTGGTACTTTGAGTGCAATGATCACAGAATGCCAGAACAGTGAAGATACAGTAGACCTTGACTATAATGACAAAATGAAAAATTTAAACACATTCCCCAAACTGAGTTATTCAGACATAAATAACTGTAGGATGACACAGGAATGTGGTTGGATGAATACAGTTTTGAAACGCTACAGGCTTATACTGAAGGACAATAACCTTTCAGATATTGATGGTACATCACTTGCTGATTTATTCAGGGTACATTGTCAACATAATGATTATGAAGATTATTTTGAATATTATTATAAGGATACAATTTTCATTCTGAGTGATTATTCTCTTACTTTTGATAACATAGAAAAGCTTGTTGAATCAGTAAGTGAAAATATAACATTGGATTGGGAAAGTATAGATCTGAGTAGGATTAACCTGTCTTCAATAAGTGGAATAACATTAGCTCGCCTATTTAATATCTGCCCAGACCTGAAGCATATTGACATGAGTTACTGCAGTTTATCAGGCAGAATTGTTAATAAAATGATAGAAGAATGTTGTAGGATGAATGTAGTATTAAACGACATCATGCTTAGTCTAAAGGGCAATGACCTTTCAGATATTGATGGTAAATCACTTGCAGAGTTAGTCAGGGTAATTTGTCAATTTGATTCGGATTATTATGGTTATGAGGATGCCATTTTCAGTTGGAGTGATTATTCTCTTACAGCTGGTAACCTAGAAATGCTGGTTGAATCTGTTGGTGAAAATATAACATTGAATTGGGAAGTGATAAATTTGAGTAGGATTAACCTGTCTTCAATAAGTGGTAAAACATTAGCTCGTCTGTTTAAGATCTCTCCAGACCTGGGCAATATTGACATGAGTAACTGCAGTTTATCAGGCAGGATTGTTAATGAAATGATGGAAGAATGTTGTAGGATATATGTAGTATTGAAAGACAACATGCTTAGTCTAAAGGGTAATGACCTTTCAGATATTGATGGTAAATCACTTGCAAAGTTAATCAGGGTAATTTGTCAATTTGATTCGGATTATTATGATTATGAGGATGCCATTTTCAGTTGGAGTGATTATTCTCTTACAGCTGGTAACCTGGAAATGCTGGTTGAATCTGTAGGTGAAAATGTAACATTGAATTGGGAAGTGATAAATTTGAGTAGGATTAACCTGTCTTCAATTAGTGGTAAAACATTAGCTTGTCTGTTTAAGATTTCTCCAGACCTGATCCATATTGACATGAGTAACTGCAGTTTATCAGGCAGGATTGTTAATGAAATGATGGAAGAATGTTGTAGGATATATGTAGTATTGAAAGACAACATGCTTAGTCTAAAGGGCAATGACCTTTCAGATATTGACGGCACATCACTTGCAGAGTTAGTCAGGGTTAGAAAGTCTTGTGAAGTTTTAAAGTTAAGCAGATTCGGTCAGCATATTAATATGAATGTATTCGAATTGAGTGATTATTCTCTTACAGCTGATAACCTAGAAAAGCTAGTAGAATCAGTAGGTGAAAATATAACATTGAATTGGCAAGTGATAAAATTGAGTAAGATTAACCTATCTTCAATCAGTGGAAAAATATTAGCCTGCCTTGTTAAGATCTCTATATTGACATGAGTTACTGCAGTTTATCAGGCAGGATTGTTAATGAAATGTTTGTGGAATGTAGTGTTATGAATGCAGTGTTGGATGTCAACATGCTCAATCTGCAGGGCAACAACCTTTCAGATATTGATGGTAAATTATTGGCAGAAATAATCATAGTGTTGCATAAGCCTATTATCCCTTTTATTTGGAGTGGTTATTTTCTTACAGCTGATAACCTAGAAAAGCTGGTCGAATCAGTAGCTGAAGAAAATATAACACTGAATTTGCAAGTGATAGATTTGAGTAATATTAACCTATCTTCAATCAGTGGAAGAACATTAGCTTGCCTTGTTAAGATTTCTCCAGACCTGATCCATATTGACATGAGTTACTGCAGTTTATCAGGCAGGATTGTTTATGAAATGATAGAAGAATGCTGTAAGATGAATGTATTATTGAAAAAGAACATGCTTAATCTGTGGGGTAATGACATTTCAGATATTAGTGGTTAATCACTTGTAGCAAATTTGTTGTGACTATAACTAATGAATTGTGTAAAACAAACATACACCACATGCTTATAACATACTGTATATATGTATCAATCAAATTAAGCAATCACATGCTGTTATATTATATACAAATATGATAACTACGTTACAATGCAACTACAAAATAATATACGACCAATGCATTCAGTTTTATGAGATTAATATTTGTTTATTTATCGTAGTATCCTTTAAAATTGAGGCAATTGACAAAAAAGTATTGGTTCTGGACCCCTATTACCCCTTTATGTACACTATGTTAATATATGCGTTGGCATGCATGTGTGTGTATATTATACTGTATATATTTTTCGTTGTAAGTTGTGAAAAAATGGCGAACCTCAATTTTGTACATTTTTGGTTGGTCAGGCGTGGCCAACACAATTTTTTTTTTATTTGGCCTTAAAAAATGTAATTATGTGTTTCATTAAGTAACTTTGCACTATCAGATTTACTTTGCTAGTAAGTTATATTACATCGGTCATTTATATCAAATGAATAATTGCATACTTCTGATTAACTACTGTAGATTATGTTCTGGTTTTAGCAACTGTGCACCTCTGTGTTAAAGCCAGGCTTCAGAGT